AACAATAACATTATTGCTTATAATTTTATCTTTTCTAGAAAAAATTAATTTTATAATAAGTAATCAAGTATTGAAGTATTAATATTATACACATCAGTAAATACTTTTTTATGATATTAAGGTATTCAACTTCCAACTGGAATGGAAATACTAAAAAACTTTTACTACATAAAATCTACACAGGAAACAAAAGCAAAAAAGTCATCAGTACTATATTACATGCCTAATAAGATGAAAGAGATTCAGTGCAAAAATGGTAAATGCAATTTCATATTATCTTTAATTAAAGCTCCTTTGAATAAAGCTGGATTTCCAACAGTTTCTGACAAAACCCTTAGAAATCATCGAAGTAATCTAGAAAAAGAATACTACAATTTAAAAAAGCATGAAAAGAGAGGATCAACTTCAGATTTATATGATTTTACATAAAAAATGAATAAAGTGTTTTGGATTGGTATACCAAATTTTAGACATACCATAATGATCGACAAGAAAAAATTAGATAAAGACAAAGCCGAAGATTTGAAGTTTTTAGATGATCAGAAAGCCATAAAAAAGTTTATTCTCGGAATCGAGGATAAAAAATATAGTTAAATGTCTAGAGAGAGTATTCAAAAAAAAAGTTTAAAAGAAAACACAATACTCTGGAAGTTAAAGCAAAATTGGATCAGGAACTAATTTCAGATGAAAATGATACGGAAATGTTGAATAATTTAGACTTTGCAACTGGAGACCGGACAATGAGAAAAAATAAAATAAAAACCAATTATGTGCACAATCCCTAAAGATATTTACAGTGGCAGTGTTGCTCTTGCAGCATCAATCAATGATACATCTCCTGCAGTTTTCCAGAAAGTTGTCAATTCTGTTGTTCATAAAGCTGGTGTGGGGTGTACGTAAATTACATAGCAGCATTTAAGCAGCCTTGTCAAATATGAAAAAAGTAAAATTAACATTAAGTAAACAAGCCAGAAATGACATTAAACCTGCTTTCGAAGCCTCTGAATATCCACTTATCATTCATTTCGATGGCTAAACCTTATTTATATTAAAAAAGGCAAGCAATTCGGATGAATGAAATGACAGATTAGCAGTTCTTTTGAATATTGATGGAGAGATTTATCTTCTCAGAGTACCTTCTCTAGCATCTTCCTCAGAAAATGATCAATATAAAGTTATGATGAATCTCCTTAAGGAATATGAAATCAAAGGAAACATCGGAAAGCTATGCTTTGATACAACTTTCAGTAATACTGGAACTAAAAAGGGTTCCCTTTTTAGAATAGCAAACAATCTAAATATCTATCCATTATTTCTTGCTTGTAAACACCACATACCAGAACTAAGGATTGTTCACTTTTGTAATGTTGCGACTCAAAGAAAGACATCTGGACCAGAGAATCTTTTATTTAAAAAACTCAAAGACATATTTGAAACAGCTGGTTTTCATTATGGTACTAATGTTACAAGATTTCTTTGGGATGAGACAAAAGGAACTATTACCAAATGTGCTGCATTTTAGTCTTTAAATTTTTTCAAAGAATGTATTAAAAGTGAAAAAATTTTACGAGACGATAGAAAAGAATTAGCAGAGCTAGTTGTTGCTTATTTGTTTAAAAATTAGAAAACCAGGAGCTATCCACCATGAAAGGTTCCATGGAAAAGCCATATATTATCTAAAATTGCAACTTCTTTCTAATAAAATTAAATTTGCTCACAATGATAAACTACTTTTAGAAGTAATAAATATCATGGCAAAATTCATAGAATGTTTTTATGCAAAATGGTATTTGTAATCTGATAAGGCTATCAAAGCACCATATCTAGATATTTTATCAATACATAAAATGTATACAAAGAGATTTGTGCTAAACCAGACGCAGTTGAAGCAGTATAGAAATCATTTTACAAACATTCCTGGTACCTAGATACTACAATCATACATTTTTTTTTGTTGGATAAAGACATTTCTAACAAAGAAAAACTAAGGTTGCCTCTGCTATGCCTCAATATGACATGCCAAACTCTGATTATTTTAAAAAAGATAACAGATCACTTATTGAAGTGGAAAACATTTGAAATGAGAGATTACAATGATCCCCAAGTTTATCATTACTACCTGATCAATTCTCCTGTTTGATGTTTGATAAAATTGGGTTGAATAAACCAAGGATTAAAGACTGGTTTACCCTTCCACCTCAGTATTGGTGTACAGAATCAAGTTTTAGAATCTTTAAAGATTTTACTAAAACTCTAGTTGTTGTAAATGATCTTGCTGAAAGAGCAGTAGAAATGATGCAACAGTTTGTTCACAGATATAATAAAGAAGAAATTCAAAACAGACTGCCTACCGTTGATAAAGCTAGTTTTGCTACAAAAAGGCCGGGAAAAAAAGTCATCAAAATTTTCAAAGAAATGGTTGACTGACTCACTTTTTACAATGTAAAAAATGATTTTAAAATGATGATAAATCAAACAAATTTTTTTTAACAAACTTTTATATTATTTTAAATAATTAATAATCAATTACAGAATAATTTTAATTCATTAAAAAAATTTAACTGTATTATTTAATTATGATTCGCTGCAAAATAATTCTTTTTTGGGGGATTTTTAACACTATTTAACACAATAAAACAGCAAAAGTATTATTCTACCTTAACTAACTTTTTATTTGAAAATATAAATCAAAATTAAAAAAAAAATCAGTTCAAAATGTTGATATTGTATATATATATATATATATACATATATATATATATATATATATATATATATATATATATATATATATATATATATATATATATATATACATATATATATATACATATATATATATATATATATATATATATATATACATATATATATACATATATATATACATATATATATATATATATATATATATATATATATATATATATATATATATATATATATAATATATATATATATATGTATATATATATATATATATATATATAAAGTTTTTTTTTTTTTTATAGCAAACAGAGTTTTCAGAAAAAGAAAAAAAAAGCAAAGAATAATGAAAGAAAAGATTGCTGTCTCGTGCCAGTTGATGTAGTGTAACTTCTTTGCAACAATAAGCTATAAGATACTAAATGTGTATACTGAAGCCCTTGGCAGCAGGCTATTTTATTGTGGCATCCAAGATGTTATTTAAGCACACACTCATAGTTAGGAGCAGTCTATTTTAGTTTGATTTCTTAGATGCTATTTAAACACCCATTCATAAATGGTGTTTAATCCTGTTTAATCTATTAACCTTAATCGCATTCTCATTTGTATTTAAGAATATTAAAAGATTTTACATGGTTCGCATATTTAATTTTTAATGGTGTTTTTTTTATACCAATATAGAACTTATTAATAGAAGTGTGAACAATATTATTTGAACTTAGATTAGCTTGATTTACCTAACTATCATTGTTTTGATTGAGAGCAGATATTCGTAATAAGTGCACAGAACTATCAGACTTATAATATAGGGATTGTGCACATTTAAAATAGATTTAATATTTGGCTTGCAGCTATAACTTTTTTATATTCTTTTCTATAACTTATTTTTATTTTGCTTCTGTTGAAAATTGTATAGATCTTGTGATATATAAAAAAGGGTTTACTAATAAAGTTTAAAAAGCTTATCACTATATTAATACTAAAACCTATTCCTATATTAATACTATAACTAGACATTAATAATGCATTATTACTTGTGAGTAATAATGCATTGAAAACTTTACTCAACAAATTTGCAGACAATCTTGACTAAATTAATAAGGAAGTCGTCTTAAAATATAAGGCGAGTGTTTTGAATCGGTGTGATTAGAGTTTAAAGAATTTTTGGGCTTGAAATAAGGTTAGAAAGTGTGATCATTGAATTTCAATGTCAAGTCAAGGTAATTTACAACTTTTATGTTGTTTCGTATTATTGATGTATTAATATTGTTTATTTTAAATATATCAACAATATGTTTGTTTGTATAGTCACTAAATAGAAATTTTTCATTTTATTTATGGGCCAATCATATTTTTAAAAACTGCTAAACCAACATTACGGTATAATCCAAAATATTTTTTATTAAAAACTCTGTAATTTCAAATAAAATATAAATCAAACTTATGTACCGTCTAATGCTTTTGCATTGAAGCATCAAGTTAATCAATTAAAACTTAATTATCAATGACTTTGTTGAGCTATAGATTAGCAACTTTTCAGGATCAATAACTAGGAGGATGACTGTTTAAGATCAATAGTTAAATAATGCTCAGCAAAACTAATAAGTTATAATATTTTAGGCTGTTATAATAAGATATAATAATCTCCTTCAATGTATCAATTGTTTTGTTTTTGTATTTTTTTTTTAATGATTTTTTCTTTAGTTAAAGAATAGATATGACATAAAGAATAGATCATTGTAATGAATCTTTCACAAAATTATATTTTTTAATGTAACAAAATTATATATATATATATATATATATATATATATATATATATATATATATATATATATATATATATATATATATATATATATATATATATATATATATATATATATATATATATATATACATATATATATATATATATATATATATATATATATATATATATATATATATATATATATATATATTATATATATATTTTATATATATATATATATATATATATATATATATATATATATATATATATATATATATATATATATATATTATATATATTATATATATTATATATATACTTTTTTATAGTGAAATTTTGGGACACACAGTAGTTAATCAGTGTCTCTAGGTTTACTTTTATACATAAAAATTTATTGTTTTAGAAAATTTCTTTAAAATTTTGCCTAATTTATATATATATATATATATATATATATATATATATATATATATATATATATATATATATATATATATATATATATATATATATGTCATTTAATAACAAAGAGAAAAACCTTATATGCCAGAACATTTGGACATTTTGCACCCAATCCTAATGGTGGCTGCATTTGTCGAAGTAACTCACAAACCTCAGTATATTTGATGCGACCACTAATATTATAAAATAATGTGTAGTAAAAGAAGTATTAGCAACAAAAAACATTTCAACAAAAAGAATTTTTGAAAATAAAAATCATACCTTCAGTACAAATTAAAAAAAATAGTAAAAATTATGCATAACCTTAACAGTTATACAAATAACTCATAACATTAGTTTTAATTGTTAATACATAATAATAAAATAAATGACATAAGATACCTAGCACATGGATCAAAATCAGACCAAACAGTGACAAACTCATCTAAATGATGGGGTCCAAGAATGCTAGAATCTCCAGTGAGAAATGAAAAGTTATCCATAATGACAGCAACAAATAAATTTAACACCTAATAAAAAATTATTTATCATTAATAAATTAGAAGGTGTTGCTGTGGAGGCAAAAAAAGAAAGAAAGTTGTCTGTAGCTAGCAAAAATATTAAAATTTTATTTTAACAATTAAAAGCCTTTTTTGCTATATTATTTAGGTTGATGCATAATCAAAAAAACGGCAAGCAGCAGTTCAACATCAACAGCAATGTCTAACTGGCTCAGCTTGATTACCTTCATGCTACAATCATGGCAAAAGACTGCACAAAAAGTTTTCAACCACAATAATGCACGTCCTAATGTTGAATGCTGCATCATTAAATTTATCAATAAAGGCTGGGGTCTGCTTTCACATCCACCATATTCACCGACCGAAGCACCTACAAACTATCATGTCAACCGCTTTTTGAATAACTGGCAAATGAATAAGCTTTACGACTACTTGAATGTCAAGACATGGATCATCTCTAAGAATCATGTTTTTTTGCTTGTGGAATCGAGCCAATGTGGAATCAAGCTTGTGGAGTCTGCCAAGCAAATGGGAAGCAGTAATTGAAGCAGACGGTGAATATGCTTCCAAATAATTGTTTAAACATGTTTTTGTAAAATATTGTTATTGATTTTGTTAAATAAAATTTGCTGAAAAAATGCAGGATAAAATATATATAATTTATGTAAAATATATGTATAATATGAGAAAACTTTAAAATTTTAATTTAATAATTAAAAGCCTTTTTTGCTATATATATTTTTTTGCAATGAATATATAAAACAAGATCGAAAAAATTTCAAAACATTAAGGGAGGACCTGAACTCTGCCACTCCCCCTCCCATTGCCAAAAGACACTGATGAAAGCGCACTAAACATCTTTAGGAGAAGAAGTATATAAAAGGTCTGAGTGGAATAGACTTACAAAGACCGTATTTTTATAAGTCCGCTCAGCTACAATGAAGTTTTCATAGTGTCCATACAACACCAACAAGCAGCAACGAATTTTTCACACTGATTTATTTTACAGAAAAAATATCAGTTCAGTGATGCAATGTTCAGTGAACTATGCTTTGGTAAAAATAGCATGGGAACAACCTTATCATTCTAAACATAAAATAATATAATTTTGATATTTCTTTGATTTTTCTGAAATATCTTAAAATTGAACTGAATCTAAGTTGATTTTTTTTGCTGACTTGTATCACTTTCTAACATATGAATTACAGATATTTGAAAATCTTGTAATCATGTAATGCTAACACAAAGTCTGCTGCTGACCTGATCTTGCATTGTTTAAAAATTCTCGGCACTGCTGTTCAGATTGAATTCTCAGTGATATGATTCATTTAACAGTAGCTTCAATTCTGTCATCAACTCTTTTCCAGTGCATTGCTGCAAAGAAATGCCAGAAGAGTTTTTTCTTAAAATACTTTTTAAACACAACAACTAAAGCCATAATGCTTTTGTTTTTAAACTGAAAAGTGGCATTGTCACTGAACATGGGTACTTCTTTGACTCGACTTAGAACAAGGTAAAGGATTTTGTAATTTTACGGAAGACTTTATATGATCAGTTGAATCAGAAACTATAGCAAATCTTTTCAACTTAATTTTCCAGACTGCAATGCTTATGATAGGAATTGGGTTTTGACCAAAATGAGCCGCTAGCGATTCATTTTGATAGAAACATCTAGCATTTTTAGCCGAGTCAACTTGGATTACCATAATTTCAGAATTATTATTTGTCAAAACTTTCTTCAAATTCTTAAAAATTATTGATTCATTTTTTCTTTACAAATGCATGTTTACTGAATTTATCACACATCCCTGATATGTGCTACATAAATTCTGTTACAGTAGACTTTATTGAAATCTTTTTGAAAAAGATGAGCTCAGTCTTTGAGATTAATAAGTTTTTATTTTGAAGTGAGAAATTTTAAAACTCTTAGTTTTAGCAGAATAAGCTGTTTTTTTATTAGGATCAGCTTTAAATTTTACTTAATATTTCTAAGATCTTGTTCTGAAAATTTTCTCTTTCAGGACTCCAAACAACATAATTAGCTTGGTATTCTGCATTAGGGCATCCCAAAAAACAAAATTGAAAAATATATGCTATTGCCCAATGTGTTCTATATGATAAAAAAGCACTGTTGGGTCTCAAATGAAGCAAAATCATTTTTTTTATAATATAGTTATTATTTTTTTTAAAAATAATAACTATATTATAAAATATAGTTATTATTTTTTTTAAAAATAATAACTATATTATAAAAAACTTATTGAAAAAAATTTGGTAAAAATGCAGTTTCTTTTTATTTTTAGTTAATAGGCAAATAAAATTAAAAATAATAAAAACAAATAAATAAAAAACATAATTGTACTACTTCTTTTTTATTTTTATAACTACAGTAAACTCATCTTAATATTAAACACAGTAAACTCATCTTAATATTAAACACAGTAAACTCATCTTAATATTAAACACAGTAAAGTTTATTACCTTATTGACTATCAAAATCAATAAAGCAAAATCAGTTTTTAAGAACAAATCATTTAGTTTCACAGTAAACATTATTTGACTTCAAAGAATATTGTCAAAAACAATTTGTTGCTTTTAACAGAAAATCAGTTATAAATATCAAAACTTACTAAATAGCAGCAAAAAAATATAAATGAAATGAAGTAAACATAAGCAAAATTTGTTCCACATTGAGTAGATGAAGGATCAACTGCTTTCATGCTGTAATCACAACGAGCACCATCGGAACAAGCCTTCATTATCAGAGGCCAGTTTTCCCCTGAAGTTGATCTAAAGAATTTAACAACTGTCTATACAAATTTTATATTATTAATTTTTTTTAGCTTTAATGGTCTATTTATAAATGTTATTATAGTTTATTTATATGGTAAGTTTTTAAATAATTACTTTATATAGTCAAATTATAAATGGTTAGTTTAAACATGCCTTTCAACGAACCAGTTTTGATGTTAAACTTAGATGATTAGTTAGAATTTGTGTTTAAACTAAATTTGTAAACATTTAGTGTTCCTGGAATAAGTTAAAAATCTAATTGATGTCAAACATAGAAAACTTACTATTTTTTTTTTTAAATCTTTTAAAAAATGTCTCAAAGCCAATTTTTTTAGCGAGTTTATTTTACATTTTAACTTTTAAGAGGTTTTATAAAACTTTAAAACAATTAGGAAACTTCTGCAGTTTTAATCTATTTGTTGCTGAAAACCATCAAACTTGTATTGTGACTTATATAAGATTTATCGATTCTAAAAATAAAGCAATACAGACAACTTGCCTAACTAAAACTTGCATTGAACTAAAGTAAGTCCTGAAGTGGTTGTTTTCATTTATTTGGCCCCATGGATTATCAGCTGGTTCAATTGAAATTTGCGAAAAAATCTAAAGATTTTGAAAAATTTTCGAAAATAATTTTTTCTATTATATATAATAAATTTAAATAGATAAAAAAAATTTCCAAATGATAAATAAATATAAAGCAAAAATTTACCTGCATTCCAACAAAAGCATACACAAAAAATAATAGAAAAATTAGCATGACAACATGAGGTAATGCCTAAAAAAATTTCTATTTAGTTTTAATTTTTACAACAGTTGTCAAGAATACAGAAATTTATCTTAACTTGCATAATTTTAAAACTTTTAATTTAATTAAAAATAAGCAAATAAAATCATAAAAATTACTTGCAATGACTTTATAAAGGTCCAAAGTAAAATTCGCAAAGAACGAACTTTTCGTAGCAATTTAATTAATCGCAAAGCACGAAATAAGCGAAATATGCTTGTGTCAAACGAAATATTTGGCTATTAAAAAAATAAAAAAATAATATTATTGTTATTATTGTTGTTATTGTTATTATATTTATCATTATTATTATTATTATTGCTAATATTATTACTACTATTTTACAGTCAGAGAAATAAGTATTTAAACAAAACATTTTATTGTGAAAAATAAACTTTGTCCAGATATTTCAGAAAAAATAAAGTATTTGATAAATAATTTTCTAATTATCCTGAAAGCAAATTAAATAGCGATTTTAAATGGGAAAAAAAAATTGTTAATTAACTGAATTTATTGAATATTACATCTCCTTAAGCAGTGTTAAAACCTCAACAAAAGATAATTAACCAAACATGTTGTTTTGTAAATGAAGTTTTATATGTGTATATTAAAAAATTTAATAGTTTTTGAAATATTGTTGTTTAGTAACAAATAACTTTTAATAACAGACTGATATTTTTCAAATTCATTCGATTTACCATTGATATCATCAAATATGGAAGTTAAAACCAAAGAATGGTCACAAGCTCAGCATAGTTTGGTTATTGATTTGTTCAAGCAAGGTAAAACATTTAGGTTGTTTAAAAAAGCAACTGGAATGCCATTAGGAACTACAAGCAATTTGATTAAAATGTAAAAAACATTTGGATATGTGAAAAATCAGCCAAGATCGAAAGCTAAGCATAAAACGTCATTCATAATCAATTGATAATTTGTCAAGTAGGTGCAAAAAAACCCTAGTCTTTATCAGCACCAAAAGTGCCAAGCACTTATGAAAAAGAATTTGGAATACAAGAGGGTAGTATTTTAAGTTAATCAAAAAAAGGTAGATTTAAAGCAAGAGTTCCACACAAGAAACCATTTCTTTTGAAAACCATTGAAACTGAAGATTTGCATTTGCTAGAAAATATTTAAAAAACGTATCATTCTGGAAGAAAGTATGTGGACTGATGAGTCAAAATTTAATCTTGTAAAGTCTAAGGGAGAAAAATGGGTGAACCATTCACACACAGTTGTATACAAGGAATAGTAAAATTTGGTAGAGACAATGTTATGATCTGGGGATCATTGGGTTGAAACAAAACAGGAAAGCTGGAGTTTATTAGGACTCTGAGGTTAATGTCAATATTTTCATTAAAAATTATCTGGTCTTAACTAAAAACCTGCAATTGGAAAAATATCTTTCAACAAGACAACAACACTTAGCATACATCAAAAGAAAGCAAAATAGTTTTTTATCCAAAAGCAGAATGAGTTACTTGTATAGTTGGGTCATAATCCAGATCTCAATCCAATCGAACACCTGTGGACTATTCTGAAAAAAGTGGACCACAATGTCTAAAGAGAAAAGAAGAGCTTAAGATCATGCTACAAGAAGCATGTGCTCAAATCAATTCATATACAGCAAAGAAATTATTTGAGCTAATGCAAAATTGACTTGCAGAAATCATAAAAGCTAAAGGGGTCTAATTGAATATTAAAATATAAAAACATTAATTACTGAGAGAAACATGTAATCTTTAAATTTTTGTTTGGATACTTATTCATGGTTAAAAAATTGTATAGTTTGAATGTATCATTTAGTTTTTAGCAATTTAAGTAAATTATTGTAATTTTTTTTTGTTATTAAATTATTAATTAAATTTGCTTTCATAACAATTGTAAATTTTTTTATTATAAACTAATTATTTTTTTGAAAGAACCTGAAAAATTTTTAATAAAAATTTAATTTAATTAGGAAACGAAAAAAAATAAAATAAAGAGTATTACTAAATTGATTTTGAATTTTGTATTTCTTAAGTAGAAAGTAAAGCTCATAGTATTTGTTATTCTCAAGCATATATAAAAAAATAAATAAAACATTTTTGAAAGAATATAATATTTATAAAATGAAAAATATAAAATTTTAGGACATTGTAAATAGAACAAACTTAATTGCAAAATTTGAAAACTTACAAATAATGCTTTAATCATTATATCCAATAGTCCACTTAACACAATTAATGCGTCAAAAACATTCCAAAAGACTTTAAAAAGATTCTAAATACAAATTGTGCTATATTTTAACAACATGTAAACATTGATCAATTTAGTTCAAATATATTGTGAAAAAAACACACACAATATACATAATACATATATTTATATATATTACAATATAGTACATAATGTATTTTATATATATATATATATATATATATATATATATATATATATATATATATATATATATATATATATATATATATATATATATATATATAAATATATATATATATATATATATATATATTTATATATATATATATATATATATATATATATATATATATATATATATATATATATATATATATATATATATATATATATAATAAAATAATTATTAACCTAAAGACCAACAAAAATACTTATACCACCATTTAAAAAAAAAATAGTTTAAAAAAAGATATTAAAAAAGCTATTTAAAAACTAAAATAATAGATGTTAAAGTTTTAGGTAAATTTTTTTTCAAAAAAGTAATATGTTTTTATTACCTGATATATATATATATATATATATATATATATATATATATATATATATATATATATATATATATATATATATATATAAATTTACCTAAAACTTTAACATCTATTATTTTAGTTTTTAAATAGCTTTTTCAATATCTTTTTTTTAACTATTTTTTTTTTAAATGGTGGTATAAGTATTTTTGTTGGTCTTTAGGTTAATAATTATTTTAATAAAATTTATTTTCATGGCAACATTTTGATATAATTTCAGATTTTTTATTCAGGAGTTCTCTTGGTTTTTTTATGAAACAATTTTGAATTTCTCAAGCAAACAAAGTAAACATCTTTTTGGCAAATTGTTGTAAGTTGGGACTTTTTAAATTATCAACCACGTTAATGTTATGAAATTATAAAGTTATTTGCTTTTATTTAACATAACTTACCTGCACACACATACAAATATATATATATATATATATATATATATATATATATATATATATATATATATATATATATATATATATATATATATATATAAATAATAATAATTAGAGATTAAAGTGCCATTATTTACAACAATCACAATAGTGATGAAGTAATTCAGAAGCACTAAACAAGTAAACTATGAGTCTGAAAAAGAGTTCATAAAAAGTTCATATTTTAGTCTTTTTTTGAATGTTTCTATAGAAGTTGAGTTTCGCGTGTTCAAAGATAAACCATTCCAAATTCGAGGTGCAGCCATACAAAAAGATTTTGAGCCTAAGGAGGTTTTTTGTTGACGACGTGTAAGTTGGCAACTGTCTAATGATCTTGTATTTTGTTTTGAAGTTCGGACTTCTAGGAGTTCAAATAAATATGCAGGAGATTTTGATAATAAAATTTTATATGTGATAACTGATATTTTATAGATTATTCTTTAATGTATTGGTAACCAATGAAGAGATTTCAGCAATATTTCTGATTTTAAATGGAAAGGAGAATGGAAAACAATACGAGATAAGTTATTTTGAATTCGTTGGAGTTTTTTAATATTTTTTTGATAAGTGCCAGATAAAATGCTGTTACAATAGTCAAGCTGAGAGTTAACGATGCCACAAGCAATTATGTTTGCAGCTTCTTTGGTCAGACATGGACGAATGTGGCGAAGTGCACGAATGTGGTAATTGCAGGATTTAATAATATTGTTTATGTGGTTGTCCATAGAGAGCTTTGAATCTAGGATGACTCCAAGGATTTTTACTGAATTTATTGTAGTTATTGTGGTTCCAGAAAACGCAATATTCAAATCATTTTTATATTTGCTAGTTTGTTTTCTAGATCCAAATAAGATAGCTTCTGTTTTATTTGGATTAAGCAGAAGTCCATTTTCTAGAAACCATGTTGTAACTGCATTAGCACACTCAGTGATTTTGCTGATGCTATCTTTGCCAGGGCTTAGGAAAGTATAAAGTTGGGTATCATCAGCATATTGATGATGATTTGTACCAAATTTAGCCATAATACGATATACAGGTGAAACAAAAATGGAAAATAGAAATGGGCCTAATACACTACCCTGTGGTACTCCTGTTGAACTTGCTATTAGTCTAGAATTTGATAATCCAATAGAAACAAAAGATTTTCGAGAGCGCAAGTATGATGTTAGCCATTTTAATGCAATATCTGTGACACCAAAATCATTCTTAATACGGGTAATCAGCAGGCTGTGATCAATTGTATCAAATGCTGAAGATATGTCCAGAGATAGGAGAATAGTGGTCAAACCATCATCAATGTTTAGCAGGATGTCATTGCATATCTTTAAGAGTGCTGTTTCGGTTGAGTGATAAGATCTAAAACCAGATTGTAGAGGATTGAAGTTGACAGATGATGTTACATGTGGACGAAGACGAGATAAAGCAAGCTTTTCAAGAATTTTCGAAATTGTATTGAGATTTGATATGGGGCGTAGATTTGTTAGGTCAAATTCTGCTAGTCCTGATTTTTTGGGAATTGGCGTTATTTGAGCAACTTTATATGAGGTTGGGAAAATTCCGGATTTGAATGAGAGGTCAGCAAGGTGAGCTATAATTAGACTGAATATTTCTGAACAAGATTTAAGGATGTTTGTTGGAATAATATCAAGTGGCGATGTCTTAGATTTGAGAGTTTTGATTATTTTCGACACATCTTTAGGTGTGACTGTACCAAATGTGGTTAAAATATCTACAGGGGGAGATAACTCTGAGATAAATTTAGATATTGGAGTTTTTGCAAGCCTTTCCTGGATAGTGTTCTTTATAATTTCGAGTTTGCGTATGAAATATTGACTTATTATATCGCATTTTGCTTCTGGTATTGTGTTATTAGTTTTAGAACTATTCGAATGTAGTAATTTCTTGGCAATGTTTCATGTTTCTTTTTGATCACCGTATGCTGAATTTAGTTTCGCCCTATAATGACTACATCTGGATTCGTGAATTGCTGCTGCAGCCTCACGGCATGCAGTTCGATATAATTTTTTATCTGATAAACTACCAGTTTTTCTATAACAACGTTCCAGTTTACGACGCCTGATTTTTTTATTCTTGGCATCTGAAGATAACCATTGATCATCGTGTTTACCAATTCGCATTGAATATTTTCGAATGGGTGCTAAATGATCAAGAACAGTTGTTATATTTGATCTTATTTGTTCAGCATAATCATCCACATTGTTTTCAGGTGATAAGCAACATGGCATCACTTGCAATTTTTTTATAAAGCATGACAAGTTTAGTTTTCTAAAGTTTCGTTTTGAAAACCAAACAGTTTTAGTATTTGAAGGTTGATGATAAAGTTCTACCCGAATCATATAGTGATCTGAAATACCCTCGTCAGTTACTTGGATACTCTTGAGTGAAATATCATCATGTCGATTTATTACAAGATCAAGCAAGTTGGCTATACCAGTAGTAGATGATATGCGAGTTGGAGATTGAACTCGTTGTATCATGTTGTAGGTCTCTAAAATCTCATTAAGTTTTGAATTGCAGGTTATGGGAGTAGTACCTGGACAGTTAAAGTCACCACACAAAAGTATTTCTCCAGATAATGTTTGAAGTTCCTCTAGGAGTTCAGATAATTCGAAAAAGAAAATGTTTGTTGGAATGATTGGATTTGATCGATAAATAGCAACAATATTGTAGATAGTATTTGCCAGGTTTAGTTTAGCTGATGTACGTTCATAAGACAGACAGGTAGATGATAATGAGAGTGGCTTGATATTCAAGTTGTCTCTATAGACTATCGCAACGCCTCCTCCACGATGGTCTGATCGGCAGTATTGAATTGTTTTAAAGCCTGGTGGGGCCATATCTTCTTTAATTGCGGTAGGGTCGTCTGACTTTATCCAAGTTTCAGTGAGTATAAAAATATCTAGAGAATGATTTTGCACTATATCATGAATGATAGCAGATTTTTTCATGGCAGATTGAACATTTTGGATACCCAAGTTTAATGCAGAGGTTCTTTTAATTTTTATATGTAAGTTATGTTGATCTAATTTCGATCCATTTGAGTTCACCTGATCATATACCCCAATAATATTTTTTTCCATTGTGCATATTGTATCGTTGCCTCCCATTTGTTCCCTCAACCTCTTGAGTAAGTGCTGCATTTCTAGTATTTCTAACTTTTCTGAGTTCACTTTCGAACAATCTCTCATTTGCTGTTTTGTCTTTATTAATAAAAATATTTTTGAAGTTAGTACTGTCCTTTAACTTTTTGGAATTTTTAATTATAAAATTTTGAGTTTCTTTGTTCTCCAATTCAACTAAGATAAGGTCAGGTGGTCCTTCTGGTCTTTTAGCTTTATTAGTTAATCGAATTATTCTTTTTGCATTTGTTATTGAAAAATCTGGTTTAATTGCTTTTAATATTGTTTCAATGGTTTGTTTATCATTTTCTTCATTAACTTGTTTGTCTAAAGTAGTATGATCAGCAACTCCGCTTATAACGATGTTGTTTTCAATTCTTTTTTTGTTATTAAACTCGTTTGTAATTTTTGCCATCATTACCACTTCAGTTTCTTTTGGTTTTAATTGATTTTTCTGAATTGATGTTGCTTGTGCATATGTGAATATTGTTGTTGGTTTATTTGTTGTTGCTGTTAAGTTATTTATCTTTTCATCTTCAAGAATTTTAAGTCGTTTTAAAAGGTCTGAAACAATATATGATATTTTGCCACACCATTTATGCATTTTTTTGGTAATTTCAGCAGATGCACTTGGAATTGTTGGCCAATTTGGTTCTTCTAAGCATTCATAGTCGAATTCCATGCTTTTTTTGAGAGGGCTACCACACTAAATAACAGTGGATTACCTCCTGATATCTTCTGAAAGAGGGCTACCACCCTGAATAACAGTGGATTACCTCTTGAGTATATATATTTACCTTATTACACAGGGACTAAAAAGTTTCAGTATGTGTTTTTTTCCGTATATATATATATATATATATATATATATATATATATATATATATATATATATATATATATATATATATATATATCGTCGGGATAGTGCAAAACCGCGTAGCTAGCATTTTATAATATATTATATATATATATATATATATAATATATATATATATATATATATATATATATATATATATATATATCGTCGGGATAGTGCAAAACCGCGTAGCTAGCATTTTATAATATATTATATATATATATATATATATAATATATATATATATATATATATATATATATATATACATATATATATATATACATATATATATATATATATATATATATATATATATATATATATATATATATATATATATATATATATATATATATATATGTATATATATTTATAAGTTAAAAATATATACAAACATATATATACAATTTATAACTTGAAAAAAACTCACAAATGATAGAGCAAACAATTTGACAGCAAATTCGAAGATAAATACAATAGTAAATCCAAAACTGACAACATTCATAATATTGTTAAATGCCTGCGGTTCATTGTTGTACTAAAAAATCATTTCTAAACTTACTAAATATGTTTGTTTGTTTTTTTTAAAAAAAATTTTAATTTTTTTTCTCAAACTTATGTCAAAAAAAAAATCTTTAAAATGTTTTTTCTTTATAAAGTAAATAAATTAAATAAATATAATTTGTCCCATTAGTATGTTGCTCACATGAGAATAATTAACAACTTTAAAAAAAAAAAAATTGTTTATGTACCTCTATTAACATGGAGATTATATTCAATATAATTAAGAATGTTATAAACATTTCCCATGGATATGACTCAATTAACACCCAAGCTTTATACTGTAAACCATTGACATTTTTAGGGATATAACGATCCATTGGCCTTGATGACATTGCAAAAATGAAACTATTTTTCTAAAAAATATTATAAACTTTATTACTATTGGTTTACTTACTAATTTGTTTTGTAGTATATATATATATATATATATGGATATATATATATATATATATATATGTATATATATATATATATATATTTATATATATATATATATATGAATGTATATATATATATATATGAATGTATATATATATATATATATATATATATATATATATATATATATATATATATATATATATATATATATATATATATGAACGTATATATATATATATGAATGTATATATATATATATATATATATATGAATGTATATATATATATATATATATATATATATATATATATATATATATATATATATATATATATATATATATATATATATATATATATATATATATATATATATATATATATATATATTATATTATATAATATAATATAATATATATATATATAGTATATATATATATATATATATATACATATATATATATATATATATATATATATATATATATATATATATATATATATATATATATATATATATATATATATATATATATATATATATATATATATATATATATATATGTATATATACATAAATTTTCCCTCACTTTATTTCGATCAAGTTCAAGACCAAATTCAGCAGCAGCAAGCTTTTGAAAAGTTAGAATGATTAAGCCAACAAACACATTGATGAAGAAAAGCATAAACACAATGATATATACTACAAAGTATACAGAAGCCCATATTTTATTATTTTTAAGAGGAGATTTGCCTTGCAATGTGCTATCAATGCCATGATGCATATGTCTATAAAAGAAATTTTTAGTTGAAGTTATGATTAGATATAAATAAAACAAAAGTTTTTAAATATTATTTTAAAATATTTTATTGAAAAAAAATTAAAACCAAACTAGTTAAAAGTAAAATTTAAAAAAAGTGATTCAATTTTTTTTGTTATCAACAGTTTGTGTTTTAAACAGTATGTGTATTAACCATCTTTTAAATTGAAAAAAAAAACTGATTTAAAAATAAAAAGGTAAAAAGATTAAAATTATAAAGTTTTTCATATTGTTAAACTGAAATCTGATAATTTAAATGTAATAATAAACAAAATATCCAATACCTATGAATATAGGCTTTTATTTTAATGATTGAAATGACTTTAAATAATTTGGTATCCTCCCCAGTCTACAAACATTTTTCATACCTTTTAATAATTTTTAGAAACCTTTTATCAATGAAATAAACCAGTAAAAATATGACAAGATTATTTTAAAATGTTTTTAGCATAATTATTTGCATTCTTTATTTATGCATTATTTCAAAGAAATTAAGGAAATTAATTATTTAGATGCAACTCATAAAGAAAAAAAAGACCAGATTGTTGGGATAGGACAGCACAATTGAACTTAGGCAACTGCATAAAAATAATTATTGTCACAAATTAAAATATTTTCAATATTTTTTTTACTTTTTTAATAAAAAAATAATATAGTTAAAACTCTCAAATTTGCATTAATTATTTTAGTTACTAGATATTACAGTTACTACATTAATTATGTTACTAGAAGGGTGTTAAATGTTGCTAGATGGGTGTTAAATGTTGCTAGAAGGATGTTAAATGTCGCTTGAATAAAATATTATATAATGTACACACTAGAGTATATAAAACACCTCCTATGAATGCAGTTTTCCATAGTTATTTTATCAACCACCACTACTTCTTGTTAAAATTATGAAAAATTAAATTTTGGTTCTAATGCATCAATGTTGCATAGCTGTGTATGGTCAATGAGATTAATGAACTCAATATAATGGAGATATTAACTTCTAAAACACACATTGTGTAAGAATACCTTAGGTTTTTAATTCATTTTAATCATTAAAAAACAACTATATTATTGTTACAGAACTCAATAGTATTTTTTTCAGTCATTTTGTATATCTTTAGATTTATGTATCTTCAAACCTTTAAGTAGTCCTTTTATGCTTTTAACCATTTAAATGAAAAATTTCAATTATTTTTCTTAGCAATTTTAAGTGAAGAATATAGCATGTTGGATGTTTAAAAAAACATATATAGCATATAAGATGGTTTAATAGCATAAGAACAAAAAATCAAATAAAAACGTTTATGCACCAAAAAATCATCAAATAATACAGAAGTAAAGCAACTTAGAATAGTCAAAGATGTTTGTTGAAACATGTATTTTAGCACAGAAAACATTTTTTCTGTAATGAAACACAAGATGAATTACCTAACACACAACTAAAAAATGGGCAAGGCTATTGCTACTCAGCAGAAATAAAAACATACTTACAGAATGTAAACTTTTAAGAATAAACTTTTAGTTAAATAATAAAACTAATTAATAAATTCTGTTTTAATCAGTTAATTAATAAAATTCTGTTTTAACTGTACTAAGTTGATTCAACGTTTGTTTTTTCTATATAAATAGGTTTGGTTATGAACTAGGTTAATAAATAGGCTTTGGTTCTGAATTGGGATTAATTAATTGTGTGGCCATGGTGCAGTGGTTAGAGCGCTTGCTTTAGAAGCAGGAATTTCAGGTTCAAAACTAACTCCAGACATATTTTTGCGTCATGGTAAGGAAGGAGGCGTGAACTTCCTGGTTAAATGCACTTCTGCGGTACTCTGTGACAAGACTGTAAGGACTTGTCACAGAGCTTGGCACCTAAATAACAAATAAATAAAAAAATAAAAATAAAAAAAAATAAAAAATTAACTGAATATCAATATCTAATTAATAAGCTAATGCTAATCTTTAATGTTAGAGTTAAACAGCCACAGATAAAAAAAAAATCTATAAACGATTAAATTAAAAAATAATAATTATTATAGACAATAACAATAAATCACAAAATCACACTCTATCATTACATAGGCTTGTGTTTTCAATAGAAAGCTAGTGCTTGCAAAACATCATAATTATATTATGATGTTTTGCAAGCACTAGCTAAATAATATTTTTAACAAACCAATATTTTATTTTTAGCTATTTAAATATTTTCATTATTTTTCCTTAACTTTCAAATATCTGGACCGCCATAATTTTACCAAGACTCCAAACTTTTGGTAATTTATGTTTAAATACCTTATTCAAAAACAGCTAACTATTTTCAAATTTATATTTAAACATACAAAATTTTAAAGTTAATATATATTAAATCTATTTCAATGTAGCAAATTTTTTGGGTCCAGTCATTTTTGTAACACTGTTAAAACTTATCATATCCATGCTTTTATAGTAAAATTTTAAACAAACTTTTTCTGTGAATTTATTTGGTAATATGTAACATATAAAAATTAATAAATTTTGAATTTTTTTCTTTCTATCGCATTCGATTAGGCTGTTTATTTACTTTAAAATCATGTAAATATCTTCTTAAACAATTTTTTTGAATCTTCATTAAAAACCATTACTGAAAATTTTAATATCAGAACTTAACATGTGCTTGTGTAACCAACAAATAAAAAACAAAATGCTAGCCATCAGTTAAAATTTCTTTGATAATAAACTTCTTTAAAATATGTATAGGTCAGTTGAATAAAAAATTTATAAAGTTTTAAATGTAAACTATTTGACTTACATGTACCAACCAGAACCCAATGATGCTGTAAACAATGTTATAAAAGCTGATAATGTATTGTCAAAATTAAAAGTGTATGCCAGCCAATTGCGTTGGCGCTCCTAAATTATTTTAAAGTGATTTTCTTGTAATGCTCTCTATAAACACTATAAAATAAAAGCTTGTCACTAAACTAGAAAACGAAAAACAAAACAAAAAATTTCAATCTTTTGTCAAAACATTATATTCAAACTAAGTGCTTAACTTATTTTTCCACATAGCGGCCTTGCTTGTCAAGATTCATGTTTTGCAGTAAAAAGTTGATAGAGAGACAATAAATTAGCCTTTTTGACTGTAATGACCCTCTCAGTTATGTGGGAATAACATTTAAAAAAATATTCTTATAAATATAATTCATAACATTGATTATAGTTAATGTTATGAAAAATTTTTAGTATAACATCAAATTTGTTTAAAAATAATTTTAATATTCCTTTATTTAATGCACCACAATACTTTAAAGAAAAATTTATTTAAATTTGTTAAAACATGACTGAGATTCAAAATAAATGAAAAAATTCCAATAAACAAAAGTGTCAAAAGATGAAATTATTCTTACAATTGGTGAGTTGTAGTTGTTTCCATCAAAAGTGATAAAACTTCCCCTATAAAAATGTTGTTTAAATGAACTATCTTTATTATAAGTATAAAATTAGAATGCATTAAAAAATATTAAAAAAAAAAAATCTTACACACAATCTTCTTCGTTATCTTTTGACTCATCTGTACAGTACCAAAATAATCCCTATGTAATTGATATGCATATATTAATAATTATTTTTTTTCATGTTTAATTATCTAAATTTACACTAATGTTTATATAAAAAAAATAAAGAGTTACAAAAAAAAACTTTTATTATTCTTTGTTTTTTTTTTTTTTTTTAACACCTTCACTTTCATGAAGGCTGCAAGCAACCACTATTAGAGTTGGAAGTTAATGGAAGAGAAAAGATGAAGTTTAAAATAAAATATATATAATATACAAAATATCACAAATTATATAAATTAGGAAAACAAGATGAATGAAGCAAATTCTATTTCGAATTCTATTAGTTTCATATTTTACTTTGTTTATTATACTATTAGTTATAAACCTTTTTCTTTTATCTTCTGAGAATACAGCTCTAAGATTACTAGCTCTGAGGTTGGCTGGTAGTAAGGCTTCCTAAGGTTTATGGCATCATTTAGAAAGCCTGATGCAATTAACAGCTGTAAAGTATTAGAGTAATAATGGTGCCATGCTACAAGTAGATGTTGTCTCTGTGTTTTTGCTATTTAGTGTCAGGGCTACAATTGAGCATTTTATTATAATTTTGGATTAAATAGAGGAAATAAGACAATTGGTAGGAACTGGTGGAATCATGCGGTAGAGCGCTCGCTTCATAAACGAGTGGTTCCGAGTTCAATCCCCACCACATCCCTGGTAGTACCGCGCTTAATTCGTTTCTCCGCGCAGCGGCCTTGTTCGTCAAGGTTCGTGTTTCGGAGTTATAGAGATGAGAGAGGGTTATAACTACAAATAAGTAGCCTCCTCGTCTGTAGTGGCCTTCTCGGCCTTGAGGAGGTGAATTAAAAAAAAAAAAAAAAAAAATTGATTAGCTAGTTGTTTAAAGTGTTTAGATCTATTTATGTATAAGTACTATCCCACTAATATTTAAGTTAAGTTCTCAATAATTTTAAAATTATTACTATAGTAACAAAGTGCTTAAATATAAAAACCATCTTTCCACATCAAAAAGAATTAAAGTTTTTTTTTATTTTTAAGTTTGTTTTTATACATTTTAAAATGACCTTTTTCAAACTTAAAAAAAAATTACTCCTAAATAGTCCATTTAGTGACAAAATAATCAGTAAATCAATCAATAAGGTCTTTGATGACAACTTTAAGAGATTGTTGAATCTTAAAACTTCTTTTTTGGTAGCACATACAAAAATACCTGAATTCAGGTCAAGTATATTCTTCATTAATAAAATAAGTTTATTAGTAAAAGAGCAACATTCCATAGTGAGCATAATATTTTATGTAAAATCTATCATCTTTCTGAACTTGGCATTTAAATAATTGACAAGTTTTCATTTTAAGGCATTTTTTTCTTTCACAAAAGAACAATCTTTATAAGGAATAATGTCTTTTACAGACAATTATAATTTTCTATTCAATTTATTTCTTTGAAAAGTAGGGATTCCACTGAGAAACAATATTCTAATTTATAGGTTGAACATAAACTTTGTAAGCTCTTATCATAAGTTGGGAGTCATTACTAATAAAAGACTTTAATAGTAAGGACAAGAGTAACAAGAGCCTGCAAAAAAACAATAGCGATTAAGATATTAAAGATGGATTATAATGAAATTTAAGTTTTATTAATTTATTTTTTTTTCATTTTTTAAATTGTCATGTATTTTTGTATATTGTTTATATTATCGTGTATTTCTATTTTTATTTATACTGTCATGTAGTTTTGTGCATCGTTTATATTGACATGTTCATATGTGAATTGTTTATATTGTTGTGCTTTTTTTTTTTTTGGGGTGTTGTTGCTAATTATTTTTATTATTGTTGCATTTTACCTTTGTTACTATTATTTAAGTGATTTCATACTTTTTTGTCTAATCATAATATTTAAATATTTTAAATTCTTTTTGTTTTAATATTTTGTTTTAACATTTTTTATTTTCATATCACCCTTCTGATTGTTAAACGTTGTGTTATCTTATTCATTCATTATCTCTCATGTCAGCTCATTTACTTTTTACTTTTTTGTTAATTGTCTTATTTAAAAAATTTGGGCTTTATCAACTAAATTTTTCTCTCTGAGAACACAATAATAAACATTGTATTCATCATATTTGTATTAATGCATCATATAAATGGGAACAAGTCTTGTATTTGACATATTCTGTTGAGAGATTATAATCTTTTTTGATCTCTATAGAGAATATGTTTTTTGTTAATTCCTAAATGGCTAGAGGTTTGATTTTTTTTTTTTTTCTATGGCAACGTACTGAAACACGTAATAAAATGGATAAATTAAAATAACTACAAATAATTTGCCAGAATGATTTTTACATTTAGTAAGGAATTGTAATGCGCTGTAATCAGCTTTGTGAAAATTATATTTGTTTGGTTTTTAGAATTTAAAATTTTTCAAACTACAATTTAAAAAAAACCTTACAGTGGTTACAGGAGAATGGAGCAATAGTTTCTGAATTAAAAATATTTTTATAGTTGTTGGTTATCAGTTACAAGCTGGCTTAAGGTATTTAAGAGCACATTTTTACAAATAGATTATGAAAAGAATTATGAAAAATAATGAGGATTAACCAATAATCAGCAGATTGAATTTGCTGCCTATTATATATGTAGAATCACATGTTGTATTCCTATTAATTATCTTACATAAAGCTTTGTTTTTAAATTCCCATTCACTTGTTTTTACATTGCATATTGTTTTTACATTAAATTGTTTCATACATTAGCACAATTTAGCTGCATTTAGAACAAAATTTCTGTTACAGATATCATTTAGCTCTAGCTGGACTGTGCTACTTATGCTATGATTTGATAGAGTTACTGTTATTGAAATTTAATTTGTTGCTGCATGTTTTGTCATTTTTGGTTTTGGTTTAAAATGGTACACTTTCTTAATCTTGTTTCTACAGACTTAAATTGAATTAAAAAGTTTTTCAAATAATTTATAGTTATTATTTAAATTTTTACTTTCTTATTGTGATAAGCTGAAAATTATCAAATTTTTTGTACTTCTTTCTGCATTTTTAAAAATATCAGTGATAGTGTTAGTAACATTAACTTGGTCAAGTTATTTATGTTTTGTTATAAATAAATCACTCCAGTTTGCTTATGTTTCACTATCAAAATTTATTTGATTAGAATTATATTTTAGGTTTCTTTTTTTAAAAATAGAAAGGATTTCGTTTTCTTTTTCAACTCTAATAGTTAACAACTCTACAGCTTTCTAATTTTATTTTGGTGCTTCTTTCTGTAAAACTTTTAGTTGTATGATTTCAAATTAACCAAAACAACTAACGACCAACATTTTTAATTATTTCTTGAAGTTATTAATTACAACTATAGTCATTATTTCTTATTAATACAAATAAAACAAGTGTTTCTTGTGTTTAATTTCCAATATACATATATGCATTAATATATATACATTTGTATACTTGCACATATACATATAATTTTACTTTTGTTACTTTTTATAAAAGCCATCATATTTAAACAAAGAAAAGCTCGGAATCAAAAAAAAGCTAGAAATAAACAATTCTTGATGAAAAATCATTTTTGAAAAAAACGAAGAAAATAGAAGATTTGTCTAAATGCCATTACTTTCAAGTCTTAGACAAAAACATTATGGGCAAGCAACTTTTACCTAATTCTGCATAAACAAAAGTGTATACTTAAAGAATTGAAATTTATAAATATTATCTTAATTGTATTTATAATTTTTACAGTAGTTATCTAGACATCTAATATTGTAAAGGTATCCTTAATTTTATAAACAGCTTTATAAACTGTAGAAACAAATTTATTTTTCCTAAACGCAAGCTATAAAGATGATATTAGATTTAATATTAGATAATGTTAGATTTAATAACTATAATCTACCAAAACATTATTCATAGCATATTTATTTTTTTATTATTATTAAAAACACCAGTACAAGTGCAGATTTATGTATATTTATAAAGTTTTTATGCTATTAAAATTTTTTGAATATTTGGCATAGGAGGAATATAGTTAGGGTGTTTTTCCAACATACATCTATTTAATACATTTACTTTTAAATGAAACATAAAAAATAATATTTACATACAGCTTATTGATTTTTTTTAATATTAAAAATTACATTTGAAAAAAAAAGTACAATTAAATAAAGTTTTAAAATATTTTTTTTTTCAATACTTAAAATCAGATACATGTATATGGTTCTACTGAATAAATTTATAGAAACAAGAAACTAAAGAACGTCTGAAATAACTAGATTTTTTTTCTTTTTTACATAATTATTTTTTGCATACTGAAAATTGTATATATTTGATACTAAAAGGTTAAAGTAAGAAAATAGTTAAACAATTAAATTTACCGAAAACAATTGTACACCCATAATCGAAAAAATTAACCACAACTGAATTAGTATAATAAGCACCATTATAACGTTCTTCAATGATAATACTAAGCAGACAAACACAGCCTATTAAAAATAACAAGAGATAAAATATGTACAAGAAAGAAATGTAAGCAAAAAAGAATAGTACAGAAATTTAAAATTATCATAATTTAAAGCTTGAAAAATAATTAATAAAAAAAAAGCAATACTTGAAGTTTTGGAATTCTTCCTATTATTTTAAGGGGTCTTATGACCCGAAGTATTCTAAGAACTTTAATGATTGTTTTAATTGTTTTTGATTTATTTGCTTTCATACTAAAAAAAAAATTTAATTCAAATTTTTTAAATTAATAATTTTATATTAATTTGTAATTTGCAAGTGAATTTGCAATAGTAGTGTTATATGACCGAATTGTGCTGTAACATGACTCAATTTTAGTATTGTACTGTAACACGACTGAATTGTACTGTAGCATGACTGAATTTCAGTTTAACATGAAACCCATTTGTAGTGTAACTAGACTAAAAAAATCTCTGAAGTAGATATCTTGAAACAATGTGAGAAAATTAAAAAGTAATAAATAACTAAATAATTAAATAATCTCTTTAAATCTAAAAATGATGCAAAGTTTTTAAAAAAAAATTATTGGATTGTCAATTAGAAAGAACTTAAAAAAAGTTAATTCACTAGAAAATAGCATAAAACAACAATAATCATTAAGACACTTGTAAATATATATTTTTCTCTTATTTTGGTTTACAAAAGTTATTTAATATTCACTTAGAAGTAAATATTAAGTAATTTTTGTAAATCAAAATAAGAGAAAAATATATATTTAAAATAAGTGCCTTCATGATTATTGTTATTTTATGCTATTTTCTAGTGAATTAATTTTTTTAAGTTCTTTAGTAAACTACAGTAACATTAAAAGTTAATATCTAAAATATCTAGCAATTACTTACCCTAAAACAATAGATGTGATAGCACATACCACTACAAAAGAGTCAACACAATTCCAAACTCTTCTAAAGTATGCATTAGCATGTAGTATGACACCAAAGTTAATAATCTAATATTTTAAAATTTGAAATTTCTAGTCATTATTACTCTTATATTAAATTTTAAATTTTGAAAAAAATATTTCTTACCATTTCTTACCAGGATTAAGATGATGATAATGATGTTGATGATAATAATGATCATCATCATCATCAGCATCATCATCATCATCATTATTATTACACATAATTATCTCACATCATCTTCATCAAATAAGGTTGATTATAACAATTGCACCTGTCATTTTGAAAAAGGATACAACTTACTTAAAATGCTTTACAAAATCAGCAGAAAAAATAATTTTTAATACAAAATTTTTATAATATTAAATAAAAGATAAATAAATAACATAACTTTTGTAAGTTTTACAAAAAAAAATCATATAAATCAATAACTGTGAAAAATCAATAATTGTGAACAATTTTAAAGTTATGTCCTTTTTGAAATGGCGTGTTAAATTGCTCTGTACATTGTTTTTCTGTGATCAATGCATAAGGAGCAACAATGCCCTTGCACTTTAAGATTATATGAGCCATATGGCTTATATTTTAAAAATTTAAAAAAAGTAATGAAAAATTAAATAAAGATTTAAAAAACATTTATTTTGTAAGCATTATACCTTTAAAAGAGCTTCTAACGTAAATATGCTCGTAAAACCATAGTCAATATAACCAAGAATCTTCATTTAAACAAAATATATTGTTTTAAACAAGTAAAAAATATTTTTATAAACAATATATTATGACTATCAATTAAAATAAAATAAGAAATAATAATTCTACAACTAATAATTGACATAAAGTTCTAAATAAAACTTATTTAATATGTTAAATAGAATCTTACAATATTAATAGGAGCGTTTGGATCTGTAACATCTTCACAAGCTAATGAAGCACTGCTTATAATAATTAGTGCAAAAATAGCATTTTCAAACATTTGCGATGATATCAATCTATGAATTGCTTTTCTCATCCTTAGAAAGAGAAAACTCTATTTAGTTGAAATTGTTAAAAAGATTTAAAAATGTAAAAATTAAAAAAAAAAAATTATGAAGGACACTAGAAAATTTTTACATTATATGAAATCATAAAGAACATTTAAAAATCTTACTTTTTACATGGTATAAAATTATAAAGGATATCAGAAATTACACAAATAATAAGGAACTATTTAAAATACCAGAAATTACACAAATAATAAGGACCTATTTAAATATCAGAAATTACCCAAATAATAAGGAACTATTTAAAATACAAGGAACTATACAAAACACAGAAAAAAATTTAAAACTTCAAAAACCACACAAAAAAAACAGCAAGTAAACAAGAAAAACACATGATCATAAACAAAATACCAAAACCTACATGCTGTTGAAAATAATTCTAATTTTTGTATTGAAAAAAAATAATTTTAGGAGTAGTTTCTTTTTGTGTTGTTTTTTTACTTTATACAAAAAAATTTTTTTAGATGTTACCTCCAATGGTTGAGGATAGAGGATATAAATTTGTATTATCTTTATGAGTTTGGCTTAAAGGATGTTAATCTGTATTTGAAAAAAATATATATATAATTTTTGGATTTTATTTACAAACTTACGGGTTTGTTGGAGCAAAAATAAAAAATGTATTCTGTTGAAGTATTTGTGGCTGTGAAGTGATCTTTTCATCGCCCACCTCTGCAGTACAAACTGAAAAAGTATTTTTTCCCACTATGTTATATAAATATAACAATACTTTTTATCTAGTAAATATAGAAAACTGTTATTTTAGTTTTATAATAAAACCAACCATTTTTTGGAGATGCAAACTCATCCAAATTGTTCTCTGTATCTTCTAACTACCATTAGAATAATTTATTTTTATATCAAATTCATTAAATGTATATTGTAAGCAGTATTTGATATATATATATATATATATATATATATATATATATATATACACATAAAACTAAAAAAATCACAGAAAAAATTCATTGAAAATAAAACTCACTGTTTCCTCAGCCTCTTCTTTGTTTTCTTTACTAAGCATAAAATTTATTTAATTTTTAGGAGACAATGAAAAAAACTATTATTTTTTGTTATATAAAACTAAACTTTTTTGTTGAACTAACTTCTAAATTTTTATAAAAATCTTTTTAAATTAAAGACTAAATTTAAAAATTCACAAGCGCAAATGTTTTGCAAAAACCTCATAGCATTTTTACTCAAAATATTTATTAAAAAAATTCTGAGAAAAAAAGTTTAGTAAAACTTTTAAACAGGACACATTATCGAACTAATATACATAACAAGGCCAAAAAAAGATTTAGTTCTAATAATACAATACAATTGTAAAAACACAGACACGTAACTATAGTGTGTAGCCAGGGGCTATTTTAGGAAAATAGTTTGGGCAGCGATACCCTCTATGCCAGCGCCTGCTGTAAAAATATTTCGAAGAAACATCGCTTTATATAGGCATTTATTTGCTAAAAATAACAATATTTGCCGGAAAAAACAAACAAACTAAATGTTGTTGAAAAGGGACTAGCCTCTGGTAGCAGTATAATAAAAAAAAATTCAAAAGCTTCTAAAGCAAAAAAACTTCTAAATCAAAAAAAAAAAAGAAAAAATCAACTAATAATAGTATTATATCTATGAAACATTAGAAGATAATATAGATATAGATAATGGTTTATAAAAATGGGTAAACTAGTTTTAACTGTTATAAATATTCATAGTTAAAATAAATAATTTAATGTATTATATATTTACTTTCCATTTGTTGGAGTTAAATTTTTATCATTTGGAGCAAATTTATCATGAACTTCTTTTAGTTTCTCTTCTCGATTTAACTCCTCTTGTACAATATCTTTTTTTTCATCAGCTGTTAATGAAATGTTGTCCACAGCAATAGCCAAAAATACATTAACTATAACAACTGTTATAGTTTTAAAGTAAAGGATGAAATAACTTTTATAAAGTATAAGTTAAACAATTGCACTTTGTTAAAATGTTAAAAACATAGTTATAAATAAATATTGTTATGCTGTATAATAAAATATAATAAAGTATAAATAAAAACATATTCTAATTAAATGAGAAGGTAATTGCTTTTTTCTTTCACATATTAAAGTTTTTTACTTTTTTTTTTATTAAACTTTTTTATACTTTTTAATATATAATTAAATTTAATTTCAAACAACTTTGTTTAGTTTATAGGGGAAGTTAGGGCTTGTTGGACTGGATTTCTTTATTTTCTAAATTGAGTTAAAATATGTATTTTATTTTTTCCAAGGCAAAATGATTAAAGTATATGTCCTCCATGATAAGAAATCACTGAAACCAAAATATTTTTTTATCTAACGGCTCTAAGAAAGGTATAAAATGAGTTGTGTTTATGATTCACTATGCCCCAGTACTGGGGCACAGCGAATTAATGAACACAGCCATTAATTAATAATACTGAATAGAGGCATAGCTAAATAACTTCAAGGCTGAGGGAGTAAAGACACTGTACATTATACTTTTGGCATAAAATCGAAATAATAGATACTTGAAAATTGAGAATAAAAAAAAAAAAGAATTTTATTGATAACAAAACTTATAAAAATATTAATAAACTAAAAACTTATCAAAATATTATTATTGATAACTTGAAACTAATAAATTCATTTTTATGTAGTTTGATTGTTAAAAATGCATGAGTTTAATCTTTAAGATCATTAATGGCCTTTAGTGAATCAGCCTATTCACTGTACCCTAATTCGCAGTGCCCCACCATAACAAATTAAATTTAAGTCTAATTTCTTGGGACATAAGTATTGTTAAAGGAAAAGCTAAACTTCTAAAAACAAGTAAAAATATAAATAATCCGAATGAAAAACTTTAACTTTAAAAATTATTTTAACCATTACTTTCATAACAAATGTAAGGAAGGTAAGAAAATTTACTTTAGTTAGCTAAAAACAAAAATTACCTACCAAAAACCGGTAGTCAAAAATTATGTGGTATCAACTATGAATAAAGATTGCTGATATATGAGCACATAAAATGATTACATTATCAAAATGAACAAAATTCTAATCTTTAAGAAAATGCCTTAAAATCACTGCGCTACTTGATCCACTGTACCCCAACTTCCCATAACTATGGTGCTCTCTTTTTATAATTGCTTGTGCAACTATATAACATTTGATTAGTTTTCAACTATAGGAATCTCTTTTCATATTTGCCTGTGGGCTATATAACTTTGTTTAGTTTATAGTAGTCTATGAGACTTTCTTTTGGAAACCAATATTCCAATTTATGAATCAAAAGAAACTATTGTCCTTGCTTTTGTTATTTTTTTTTTTTTTTTAATGGTTTTTAATATTTATATTATAATTGATAAAGAGGTTATCTATACTCTATAGAAACATTGTATTAAAAATCAATTTAAAAATAAAGAGCTACATTCATAGTAAAAGTTTTTATTTAATTGTAAACTACAAGACTCTCTTTTTATTTTACTTGCTATATAACTCTGCACTATAAAAGTTTTGAACATTTATCCTCAGAATTGCAATTAAAAAAACTTTGCTAAATCATAGCATAAGATAAAATGTCAAATATTATATTTTAAATCAAAAATACATATAGAACTAAAATGCGGCCTATAAATCCGAAGGAAATGTCATCAGATTGTAGAGAAACAAACTTTTATATTATAATTTAAATTTACTTTATTAGTAGCAGAAAAAAAAGAAGCTTCTAAAAGAAATTATAAATATAAATTAATAAAATCTAAATAAAATTATAAAACATTTTTATATGACATATTTTTTTTTAATTTCCAAAAAACTATTTAAATATTATAAAACGATATTAAACATTTTAAAGTATTTGTAAATATTTAAAAATAGCATTGAATGTTTTAAAAGTTTAAATATATAACATTTTTTATTATCTTAAAACATTTTCTTTTTTAAAATATATACTTCAAATATTAAACAATAAAACTTAAAAGATACAATTTCCTAAAACAAGGATCAAAATATAGTATATTGACACTGCAACTCCTATTACATTTAATGCTCCTCCATATGCATTTATTCCTTCATGTAATAGCATATACCAATCTGCACCTGTTACAATCTGTAACAAAAAATATAAATATTTTGATATTTATATATATATATATATATATATATATATATATATATATATATATATATATATATATATATATATATATATATATATATGTATATATGTATATATATATATATATATATATATATATATATATATATATATATATATATATATATATATATATATATATATATAAACTTTTGAATAAAAAAACTTTTTAGGGGTCGCTCAAGACCAAAAAAAAGTTCTTCAAAAGTATATTATGTTGGGTCTTAAAAGAAGTGAAATTTCAAAAATAATAATCATTTTATATAAAGATTACTAGTTTAAATTTTATGGCTTAAAACCTATCATTTTTTAACAAAAAATAAAAAGTACATTTTTTCAAAGTTTTTTTAAATAAATTTTTTAAATTTCTGTTTCCATAAATTGTTTTTATTATTTTTGAAATTTTTATAAAATTTCACTTTTTATGAGACTCAATATGATATACTTTTAAAGAACCTTTTTTTTCAAAATATTAGGGACACGTTTGATATTTAAGGGTCTCAAGCGACCCCTAAAATTTATTTATATATATATATATATATATATATATATATATATATATATATATATATATATATATATATATATATATATATATATATATATATACAGATTGATAAATAGATAGGTATACAGATTGATTGATAGATAGATTGTGCGGCCGTGGCACAGTAGTTAGAGTACTTGCTTTATAAGCAGTCGAAACAAGCTTTAAATATATTTTCCCGTCATGGTAAGGAAGGAGGTGTGAACTTCTTGGTAAAGTGCTCTGTGACAAGACCGTTAGGTCTTCTTGGGGCTTCTAAATAACAAAAAAAAAAAAAAAAAAAAAGGTAGATAGATATAAATATATTATATTAAGGGGGGTCTAAAATTGACTTTTTTTTTTAATTTTGTGTAGTTATACCACTTTTTCTAAATTAATTTTTTATGCTACTTTCGAATTACTTAATACTTTTTTTTTATTATAAATATTTGGTCTTCTACTTCAATTTCATTAAAAGTGGTTATTTGACAAAACAATTAATTGCTAATTTAAACAAAATCATTATTATTATCAAAGTAGAATTCGTGGTAAAATTTTTTTTTGCTTTACCAATAAAATACAAAATCATTATGTGTAGTTATAAATGCAACAAAAAATTAGGCATTATACATAAAATTACTCCATATAAGGAACAATTTGCAACATTTACTAGTGAAAATGTGAAATAACTTCATTGCAACCATGGCGCAGTGATTTGCGTTCTTTCGCAGAATCAAGAGGTCTGAGGTTCAATGTTGGCTCTGACCAGATAAGCGACATTGGTAAGGAAGGATGTGTAAACTTCCTAGTTAAATTGCTGTTCCACAGTGCTTTGTAATAAGCCAGTTAGTCCTTCTTGGAGTACCTTAATAACTAAAAAAAAAAAGTTATAGTAAATGATTGTGGATTGTTGTTAGGACTTTCCAAGTTAAGTAGAAACTTCAAATTATTAGCTTATTCTTCTGTATACATAAGATGACGTTTGTTTGTGTTTTTATCAATGATTATGATTTTAAAAAAAGTGGATCTTTGCTGCTATGATTTACTTTTTATTGATCTAAATATTTATTATTAATAAATATTTATTGATATTTATTGATAATGATTACTAAAATAAACATCCCATTCATCAATCGATTTTAATTTAACATAATTTTCTGTTTTTCAATGTATTTATTGACATATGATTTGAAAGTAAATGGACTGTCTTGTAATTTCAAACAAGATAAGGTATAATCTCTTGGACGCCTAATGTAAAGCTACAGTTCTTTTTTTGCTAACCCATTTCGCCTTAGTTGTTTCTGTCACTGGTTTCGACTGTATTTTATATTTTTAAATTTTTAACAATGAGAAACATTTCCCAAAATATTTCTAAATTACATGAATCTTTATTTTACAATGCTTTGAGTATTTAAGTATATTTCCACAAGGAATTTTTATAATCGACAGTATTTCTAAAGCCAATTGCAACGAGTGCCACGCTGACGCTTAAGTTCAATGTTATTTGAAATTGTTTTATAAATTAAAAAAACCTGATTAAAAATGTAATACATCAGTAATTCCATTATTGTATCTTTTTTCGAAACTCAAAATACTTTTTTATTTTCTGTACAAGAAAGAGAGCTAAATTTTGCTAAACTATTTGCAAGAACGATACAATCATCCAAATTTTTTGATGCATATATACGAGCAGTCAATCTTATTTAATGAAAATTTCAGAAATATTTTTGACTTTATTAAAGACAAGTACAAAAACAACCCTGAGTAAACAACCCTGAGTAAAGGCAATTTTGTATGATAAAATTTGTCTATTACTGGGAGGTTTCTAAAGAAGTTTATTAACTTTGATTCATTTGTTTACCTGTTTATGATTTATTAATATATTAGTTTGTTACTTCTTGTAGCAATATTTTTTACTTTAATCAGTATCTAAATTTAGTTAACAAAACTAACAGCAAAGTATCTTCTAGCGAAGTAAATCAAAACAAATTTTTACACTAGATAAGACTTATTTTTGTTTAAATGCAACTTTTATTCATTTTAATTCCAAGTTATTCAATCAAATTTTAAGTTGCATAAATGTTAACATAAAGTTGTATAACTTTACAAGCAAAGAATACGCTGCAAAGATTTCTAGTTTTTAAGTTTTTTAATATTTTTAAAATGTTAAAAATTGAAGTTGAAGGTTAACCACAAAAAAATAGCAAAAACTGAATTGTTTATTGAACTTTCCTAAAAAAATTAATTAAGAATAATTTATTAAACATATAGAATTTTGGACCCTTGTTAATTATATATATATATATATATATATATATATATATATATATATATATATATATATATATATATATATATATATATATATATATATATATATATATATCATATATATATATATACATATATATATATATATATATATATATATATATATATATATATATATATATATATATATATATATATATATATATATATATATATATATATATATATATATATATATATATATATATATATATATATATATATGTATATAAATATATATATATATATATTTAAACAATTTTAAAAATGTATTCTACAAAATAGAGTGCTCAATGTTCTCAAAAGAACAGAGCAATTATAAATTAGTAGAAAATCACTTAACTAATTTTTTTTTTCATTTTACACTTCATCAAAAAGCATTTCTGATGAGTCTTTGTTAATGAAACATAGTGTAAAATGAAAAAAAAAAAATTTTGTTAAGTAATTTTCTACTAATTTATATATATATATATATATATATATATATATATATATATATATTTATACATATATATATATATATATATATATATATATATATATATATATATATATATATATATATATATATTTATACATATATATATATATATATACAGGGCTCGAAATAGCCGCCGGGCGTTGGCAGGACATTGTCATTTTTTTGGCTGTTTACTTGTATCAAGATATTTTAACCTTATGACAAATATTTTATCTAGACAAAAAATTATTTTATAGAAATATTTGTCTGTTGGAACTGGCAAATATTTCTATAAAATAAGCACTATATAAGTTTAGGAAATTAATCCAGATTAATCACTTCATTAATTCTTATAAGTCTATTAGAATGAATTTTTCTTATGTAAAATACTTTTTCATACCCACCTTCTAAAATAATTTAAATAAATGCATTCACATTTTTTTATGTAATATTCTTTTTATACTATAAGACTTTTTTTTATATGATAATTTTTATTCTTAAATATTATAATCTTTTTTTATTCACTTTTATGATTTTATGATTTATGATGTTTTATCACTTGAAACTATAATTCAAAACATATTAAAAATTGTACATTTTCAGTCATTCTCAAAGTCATTTTTCAAAATATTTATGCTGGTAAATGATCTGTTAAAGCCAATCTACATATATCTCTTATAAAAAATGAAAAAAATTTCTTACCTGAAAAACAGATAACATAGCATTAAAAAAGTCATCAAAATTTGATCGTAGATTTGTTTTATACCTATTATAAAAATAAAAAAATAACATACTTATTAAAAAACTTATTATATTAGTAATTTAAAAAAGAAACAGTTAAAAACTTACACAGTAAGTTACACAGCAAAAGTTTTGCCACTTTTGCTGTGTAATCTTCAAATCTAGTTTCATCATAGCCCTATATCTCATTAATATGAAATTTATAGATTTCTCAACTAATTATTTTTTAATTACTATTACAAACCTCTCCCAAGTATAACTCCATAAGACAAACCTTGAGAAACAAGTGGGTTGTACAAATAAAAAAAGTTATGTGATGCATAGCAAAGAGCGTAAAACAAACTTGATGCTTTTTGCATTCAAAGTTGGCACTATATTACTACTATATTTAAATAATTTTAAAATGATCTCAATAATATGGAACAAACAGATTTCTTAAAGTATCTACTATTGATAGAACCATTATCTCAATAATATAGTAATTTAGTTTTGATAGTATTAAATTTTAACCTTTCATGTCAGAAGTGCACTTATGTGAATATACCTATTGAAAGATCTTTCTAAGAAAGATATTTCAATAAGTATTTTAATCTAAAATATTAGTAAATATTGTGGTCATAGATATATTTATTTATCTTGGGAGAACAGGAAAGATTATTTACAGATACTTTTTTATATAGCAACACACAAAAAAAAACTGACAAAAATATATGTAATTATTAGATGCCATCATCATCAGCAAGCCAGTCATCATCATCGTCATCATCATCATCATCATCATCATCATCATCATCATCATCATCATCATCATCATCATCATCATCATCAGAAAGAACTTCATTATTTTCTGAAGATTATGTTAGTTTATAATATGGCATTAGTGATTTGTCAGGTAAAATAGATCTAGACTTTTCTAATAATAGTCTAAAACCAATGACAACAAAGCACTGCAACTTGTTACCAAAACAATTACTATCATTCAAAAAGGTTACAAAATTCTCATATAAAGTATAGAATGAAGCTGGTTGAAGCCAAATGATATAAAAGTACTTATTTATAACACATGCGTCATAAAATTTGAGATTAGCTTTTATTAGCAAAACTAATTATTAAGTTTGATAAAATAATTAGTATTTGGTATTAAAGCTCTATCTTTCCTCTATGAAGTATGCAAATTGTCTGATTATTTTTTGTTTAGATAATAATTTAAAATAACAAATCAACAAACCATAAAAAGTCAAATGGAACCATTTCAAAATGAAAGGCTACTCAAAAGCTGCAATTTATATAAACAGTAACAATCAAAATAAACCATCGGGTTGGAAAGTTTGAAATGGAAGAAAGCCTACTTTTAATACTCAAAATAACCCCACCAAATTTAAGGAAAATGTTTAACCATGGAAGAGGTGCGCCACTTTCAATGCTAGAAAGCTTATTTAAAGCAAAAACAAGAGTTGGAAAAATCTTAAAGCATTTTAAAAAGCCTATTCATTGTTATAAAAAAATAAAGACCTCCTGAACAGAGGCTTTGAGGTTACCAAAAGTGTGTGGTGTTATTTAAAATAGTGTGACCACAAATTTATTATTGACATTTATTTATTATTGACAGCGCATGGCTGGTATGGCATACTGTTAAATTGATAAATATATGGCGCCAGGTATTGTTACCTGGTATTTTAAAGTTGCAAAATTTGAAAAAAAATTACTTGTATGGATGGAAATCTTCCCACAAGGGGTCACATAATTTTACATTGTTCTTTCTAGTCAAGCAATAAACCAAGAGATCTATATAAAAGAGTATTTACAAAAGTGCTTGCAACCTTTTATTAAAAATATTATTAAGACAACAAGTACATCTTTTGGCTTGATTCAGCGATATCTCACTGTGCTAATTAATTAACAAATTGGCTGAAAAAGCAAAAGGTACCATTTGTTAAAAACAAGAACAATCCAGAAAACTTGCCAGAAGTTTGTGCTATGAAGGATTTTTGGGCAATCCAAAAACCAAACCTTTGTGTACAAAGATGAATAGTCTACAAATAATACATTAAACTTTGAGCGTCAGATTAGTTTTTGTGCCAGTAGTGCTAAATTAGTACCTGCACAATAACTAATCCAACTTTTGTACAGCCTAAATGCTGTGCAAAAGCAGGTACAAGGTACAAACAACAGACTTGACCAAATTTGAAGATATGGAGTCTTGTGTTAAAATTTTTTTTGATTTGCGGATTCTGCATATTTTATTCTATGTACATATCAAAAATCTTTTTTTTTATTATATTGGCTTAAGTTTCATTGAAGTTTAAGCCAATCTCAAACTTTATGTTACAGGTGTTATTTAATTATATGCATTTATATATATATATATATATATATATATATATATATATATATATATATATATATATATATATATATATACATATATATATATATATATATATATATATATATATATATATATATATATATATATATATATATATATATATATATATATATATATATATATATATATATATATATATATATATATATATATATATATATATATATATATATATAAATATATATATACATCAGGGCCTATTCTAGGAAAAGAATTTGTGGCAATGGTACCCCCCCGTTTTGGCAGACTTTAGCGGAAAATTAGCGTTTTTTCGCTATATTTGAAAATATTTGCGAAAAAACGCTTTTGCCATATTTGAAAAAAAAGGTCCTCAAATTTCAATTTCAAGTCCAAATGAGCGCCCTAATAGATCAACACTGTCGAAAATGGTTTAGAATAGCCCCCTGTATATGTATATATACATATACATATGTATAAATATACATATATATTTATATATATATATATATATATATATATATATATATATATATATATATATATATATATATATATATATATATACATATACTACTGTGATCAAAAAGTAAGGTGAATTTTTAATTTAAACTTCCCACCTTATTCGAATCGTCCAATCTTTTTTATTTTTAAGTTGGTAGGAATGTCATTAACATTTGCGCCTAATTACATTTCAAACTCATAATTATTTTTTTATGTTTACGCTTGTTTCTGAAGTACCAAAAGTGCATTCGGCGATTTTCACGATGTCTAATTTTGTTGAGCAAAGAAGTGCTATTAAATTTTGTTTGCGGAATGATATTTCTGCTGCTGAAACGTATCGAATGTTGCAAAAGGCCTTCGGTGAAGAGACTATGTCTCAAAAAATTGTTTACAAGTGGTACAAAGACTTCAAAGAAGGCCGAGAACGTGTTGATGACTTGGAACGCTCCGGACGACCATCGACTACGATTGATGATCGCCACATCAACAAAATCAAAGAATTGGTGCTTGCAAATCGTCGGTTAACCATTCGAGACCTTGTTGACACGGTTGGAATATCATTTGGGTTGGTGTAAGCGATTTTGAAGGATCATTTGGGCCTCAGAAGACTCAAATCACGTTTGGTGCCGAAATTTCTCAATTTCTTTGAAAAAAGGCGTTGCGTTAAAGCGTGTGAAGCAATGCTTTCTGACTATCAAGACGTCTACAAACAAATTATTACTGGCGATGAGACTTGGGTCTACGCATACGACCCTGAAACAACCGACCAATCGAGTGAATACCGTGAAAAAAGCGAGCTGAGACCGAAGCGACCACGTCAAAGTCGCTTAAAAATCAAGGTCATGTTGACTGTTTTCTTTGATTATTGTGGTGTCGTGCACTACGAATTCCTTCCAACTGGCCAAACTGTCAGCAAGGAATATTATTTAAGCGTTATGCGACGTTTGCGTGAAGCTATTCGCAAAAAGAGACCGGAATTATGGGCCAATAACTCTTGGATTTTGCACCACGATAATGCGCCTTCGCACACAGCACTGGTTCTAAGTGAGTTTTTGGCCAAAAACTCTACCTATGTTGCTCCACAACCACCGTATTCGCCCGACTTAGCACCGTGTGACTTCTTGCTGTTCCCAAAGCTCAAGAGACCACTCCGGGGAAATCGTTTTGAGTCCATTGAAGAGATTCAACGTGAATCGGCACGCGCATTGAAGGCTATCCCTACCGAGGACTTTTCGGCATGCTTCAAAGACTGGAAAAAACGTTGGCAAAAGTGCATTGGGGCCGGGGGAGATTATTTTGAAAGGGACGATACAGATTTGGAAGAATAAATAAAGATTTTTCATTTTATAAAAAAATTCACCTTACTTTTTGATCACAGTAGTATATATATATATATATATATATATATATATATATACATATATATATATATATATATATATATATATATATATATATATATATATATATATATATATATATATATATATATATATATATACATATATATATATATATATATATATATATATATATACATATATATATATATATATATATATATATATATATATATATATATATATATATATATATACATATATATATATATATATATATATATATATATATATATATATGTATATATATATATATATATATGTATATATATATATATATATATATATACATATATATATATATATATATATATATATATATATATATATATATATATATATATATATATATATGTGTATATATATAAAACAGAAACACCAAACAATCATTCTATATTTGTATAGTGTTTACCTTTTTCATAAATTACAGTAAATAGTCAAGAACTAGAAGAGTTACTAATACTTAGTATGCTCACTTTTAGCTAAATGTAGCTGCTCAATTCATCAAGGAATAGACTCAATAAGATCTTAACGGTACTGTGGAGTGATGTTATTCCAAGCATTTTGCAGCAAGTTAAAAAGTTTATCTTGATTGCATGGCTTTTTACCTTATTGCCCTGAACAGGATTTCCCATACATGTTAAATGGGATTCATATCTGGATTCTGGGGTGGCCATTCGATTTGCTTAACACCCTTATAATGTAAGAAATTGCACACACTTGCTTAGCTTTATGGTAAGGTGCATTATCAAGTTGGAAGATAAACCTCTTCTG